AAAATACTCTGTATGCAATTAAAGTAACGTATATTTACGGATTTCCAAGGCTCTTTACAGAAGCTGAAAAAAAATTTTCAAGACAAAAATTTTTGCGAATACTTTTGAACGAATATTTAGTTTAATAGTTAAAATGAGCATTTAGCATTACAACAAAATTTAATTCTAAAATCTTGTAAAATTAATGTCAAATTTAATATTACAATTCCGTTTGACTCCCATCATAGATTCCCAAGAATACATTTTCGATTATGGCACATTTAACTAACGACTTTTATTCATTATCAATTTATTTTTATTAATTTTCATGAAAATCTCAATTCAAAATGTTCTTTGGAAAAGTTTTAGAATATTTAAGTATAAATTTTTTTTGGAACTTTTATTCTGCCATCCCTTTTAAAAAGTCCCTCTGATAAATCAACATAATATAGATACATTTATATTTTTACTTACCCATAAATACATATACGTAAACAATCAATGTTTTTATATAGTCCTATTATTTAAGTGTAAATCTTTTATATTGAATATTTTTCAAATAAAATTTGTGTGTGTATTCATATATAGAAAATAATGATGGAATTTAATTTCTGGCATTTTCATTTTTATAACCTTCACTTTATAAAAATCGACTTTTATTGGGTTATAATGTAATTTACGAGAGAAAATGAAAAGAAAATTACTTTTACTGAAAAATCGAAGAATTCTAGAAATAACAGCAACAAAAATAAAAAATACTTAAGTCGAAAAAATAAAATGTTAGCTATTAATTCTCTTCAATATTTTTAACTTAACTGTACCCATTTCATATACTCCTGCAATCTTTTCTGTATAAATTATAAAAGAAAATACAAAAGAAAAATTTTTACACAATCATATCTATATTTATAAGTTATAATTTACTGAATAAAATCTGTTCAATTGGGGCACTGATACACTCATTACACACCATACCCAAAACTTCTTTCAATCCATTCCTTGTTGTATTGTAAGTTATTTTTATTTTACTCGTAATCAACCAGTGTGTGATTAATTATAGTATAATAAAATACGAATATAAATTTTCATTATTTTATGGTACCGGAAACTGGGAAATTTGGTCATGTATAATCAAAAAACATAATGAAAATAAAAGTAGAATAAAGGAAAAAAATTCATAACGATAATAAATTTTCTACATCATAAAATACAACGAGAGAAAAAGAAAAATAGCACATATATTTTTGATAAGTTTAAAGAGTATACAAGAGGCCAAAAAGGCTTATGAGGAAAACGACCAACATGGAGGTGAAAAATACGATATTGTTCTCAGTTCGTAATAAAAATTGTTATTTAAAGAATTGCCAATATTGAATCAAAAAATAATGAAGCGGTTATTATACTATAATAATTCAAGTAAAATGAGTTGTACATACTTACATTACATGGAACGTTGTTGGATTCTGAAAAAATATTATTGTCATTGATTTAAGTAACGAAATTGTTGAAGTAAAATTATATTGATTAAAAAAGAGGAGCAAAACATACGAATTACTTATATACTTCTTTTATGTTTCTAGAGGAACGTTTTTAATCACAATAAAATTTTAATTTTACCTTAAAATTTTGTTAATTATTTGTATGACAAATTTAATTGCAATACGAACGTGACATTTTTTTAATTATTTTTTTAGTAAGTTAACTTGGTAAATTTTTTTTAAAAAGATTCCTTGAAAAAAAAATGATCCGTGAATTCTGGGTAATATTAAAATCTTATTTTATTACATTAAAATTTAAGACAATTTGTTAAGACCAGGTGGAAAATTTACTGGATTTAATCTTTTTGAAATACAGGTGTCCTTCGATATACTTACTACCGAAATAAATAATTTCGATATACCTAAAATAAATTTAAATACCATTTTTCTTTTTATATAAATCTTTCTTTTGCTTTATATATGTTTTTTAGAATGAAAAAACGAATTTTTGTTATGCACACGCTATTCTTTTATATTTTTCGAATTTAAAAACGATTTGCTTGACAAAATATACAAACGCACCCCAATACATGACATTTTATGAAACATGTCATGCACGTACATATATATGCATAATGACACACAATACATGCATATTTCTTTAGTATTGACATTTCAAATTAAACATAGCAATCGTTATTTCACCAGTTTTTACAAAATTTTGGCGTTTTTTTAAGTTTTCATGTGAGCAAATAAATATTATAGAAAGATTAAATAGTCGTTCATGATTTTAAAATCTATGGAATATTATAAATTTTAGATATATACATATGTATTTTATGAAATGAACAACCTAAATAAAAACATTAAAAAAAAAACTGATGTGGTTAGCACATAACCGACCGTAATGTGAATTGTCTATTTAAGTGAAAGTGTTACAGAATATTACAAAAATGTCTGTTAAATATTTCTTTCCAATTTTTAGGACATTAGTAAGCTTATAGTTAACATACCTAGAAAAATGTAAATTTGGCTCTTAGTAGAGTTTCGCTTTGTGCTACTCGAATTCACTGAAATGTTCGCCAATTAGTTCCGGTAACAACCAGAACTCAAATAACAAATTTCAAGAAATTCCATCAATTCGTTCCGTAGATATGGTGAAAAATGTAAAATCGGCCCATAGATCAGTTTTCGAGCCCTCATCTTTCCAAAAAATTTATATGTTCATTGTTTCAATACGAAGAATTTAAATATTAAATTTCAAAGAAATCGGTTGATTATTTCTCTTTATATACCCAAAAATGTATATTTGACCCCTAGTAAACGCCCAGTTGCTGATGCCTGATTTCTTCCAAAAGTTAGGAATTTTCGCGTTCGGTCGAGCAAAGCTTATATATGAAATTTCAGGTAAATCGGTTGAATATTTTCTTCAAAATGTTCAAAAATGTAAAACATGCCCGCTAAAAAGTGCAGTTCCCGAGGCCTGATATATCCGAAAAGTTGATCAATCTGTGCCATGATGGAAATAAACTTACAAATAAAATTTCATCAAAATTGGTTCAGCTGAACTTGAGATATATGCGTACACACACCGACCGACAGACCGATAGGTTGCTAAAAATAGTTTACTTACACTTCCCTACTACAGAGAAGTGCCCTCCCACCGAAAACTCGATATGCAAAATTTTGTTGCCATCACATAACCTACCTATTGTATACACAATACGGTCGGTAATAAACGACAAACGATCTCGTTAAAACAGAAAATTGAAGTTATACAAAGATTCGAAAAGAAAGAAAGGCCTGCTAACATTGCTTTTTCAATATGTTTACAAGTAGCTACGGTTTGTGGAATTATTAGAAAAAAAAGCGAAATAAAAAATATGCAGAATCTAAAAGAGTTGTAATGCAAACAAGAAGCAAATCCATTATTTTGGGGAAAGTTGAAAAATTTTAATCACATGGCTAACCGATTTAAATAATAAGAACATCTTTACGTTTACTTTATTGACACAAGAGAAAGCGAGAAGCTTATTTAATTATTTATTTTTCTGCAAGTAGCGGATAGTTTCACAAATTTAAAAGACGATCAAAGTTGAACAATATTAAAAGGCGAAAAAATTTGCTGATTTATTGAAAGAAATTATTCAAAAAGAAAATTACGATTTAAAACAAATATTTAATGTAGACGAAGCTGGTCTCTTTTGAGGATTTGTGCTTGGCGAAACATTTATGGATTCAACAAATAAATAAAAATAGATTGAGCTTTAAAATATGTTAAAAAGGAAATTACCTGTGATATGGAAGTGGAATAAAAATCATGGGTAACCTGTCATATTTTTTCTGATATACGCAACATACTGATATGGACGCAAACGTTGTTGTTAAAATTGCAATTAAACAATTTGGATCTATTTGATATTATTATATCGAAGATGAAACAGAAAATCAGAAAGAAAATTACGAAATAAATAATAATGCAGTGCAAGCAGATGTGTTTTTATTTCCTTTACCTCTCTCTAGCTTTATATTATTTACAACAGGTTACAACAATTTTTCAAAAAAATTCGACCCAGGTGATCAGATATCAAAAATTATTTCTTCTTCTATTTTAGAAAACGTAAGGAAATTTCCATCCCGAAAATTATATATATAGAGGCATATCCGTACATATTCCAGGACAATAATAATATACTTTAAATAGCTGGCTTTAGAAGCGTTTTACATGAAGATCGAGAAATTCTTTTGCTGTATTAAATAATATTTTGATGCAATAGAATTTATTAGCTTAATAAATTTTGTTAATGTGACAGTACAATATTGCTTGATTAAGAAACTGAATAAATTTTCTTACATTTTAAATTAATTTAAAGTTAATAAATTTTCTATATGCAGTAGGTTTTAGATTATTGCATACTTATTTTAATAATTTCGCAAATGAAAGAATTTGCTTTGAAATATGATATTTGAATTTTCCTCCAACATAAACTTAAGAGTTTAGCTATTAGCTTTTAAAGCTTCCGCTGCATTACAACTGCAATATGTTGGAAAACAAAACTTAATTTAATTCCAAAACTAACAAATTCAACATAATTTTTACTTTAGAATGCCAAAAGGAATGTATTGTACATTTCATTATGAATTCTCTTTAATATTGGTTCAATTCACATGATTTAAAAAATTATATATTCTTAGAAAACTAAAACAGTTTCATTCTTGTTGCATTTTATATCCTTTATTTCCTCTTCAATATTAATGTACAATCAAATTTATATTGCAGAATGTACTTTGCTTATTACTTTTTCTTTTAACACATAAAGAAAAATAAGACGCTGAGTAAATCAAGTATTTTAAGTTTCTTTGTAAATTTTTCTTAAAGCACATGGTGAAGTTATGTAGAATACTAAATTATCTCTTATCTAACAATAACTAACACGTGCTTTACTTACTGTAACGAACATTTTTTACATCGTAAAGAAAACTACTACTTTAAGTTGTTTAAAATAGGGTTGTGACTGTCATCACTGGTTCCAATTGAATCACCGAAGCAATCCTCTATTTCTGAAGAACTATTTTCTTGTGGGATATTTATAATTTCATCCGATAATTCTTCCACTTCGGGTAGAACCATAATATCACCATTATCATTAATCGGTTGACTACTAATGCGGGAGGTTTCCTCAACCCAATTACTAACTTGATTTCTCGTATAAGTATTCTGACGTTCGCGTTCATCATTTATATCCGCCATCATTGCTTTGACATCATCTGCCGTAAAGAATTTTTGTGATTGCATAATATTATCTTTTCTATCACCGTACATCTCCCTAATACTTTGATTAATTTCAGCGAAGTTAAAGAATCGCCCTTGAGTTTTTTTATACTCCTGTTGACGTTGTACTTTTCTCTCATTATGCTTATGCAATTCGTCGAGATCTTGTAGATCAGCTGATGCTCTTCGCGATGAAAATGCACTGGAACCTTTACGTTTCTGCATAACTAAACGGCATTTATTGGTAAATCCACCAATAATTTCAGAAATCAAAGTCACTGCTGCAAACAAATAGCCCACTGCCATCAATATGAACATTCCTTCTGTATCGGCTGTTGTTAACTGCCGTTCTTCTTGTACCATTTCACGCAATGAAACGCCTGAGCTAGCTTGAAGTAATTTTGCTCCCGAAGTACGTCTCATATTCCATACTACATCACTTAGAATTTTTTTCACAAGACCACCCTGCTGAAGTCTTAAAATGAGCTTGTCAATAGATTTTCTATATACAGAATGTTTTGGATATGCGAATCCTACTTGAAAAGGAGCAAAGCATTCATCACTTAAATGTAACGCCGTATGACGACTTAAAGATACGCTGAAATTAACAAAGCACATTAAAAAAAAAATTTTTTGTGCAAAAAATTGCAAAGCTTACTCATCGGTAAAATTAGATTGCACTAAGTATTCTAACTGCGACTGAGACCCTAAAAAGGCGTAATTCCAAAAAAATGCATGTGTTACATTTCCTATACCTTCATCTAATGTGTCAACAAATTCCATCTTTTTAAATAATCTTTCCGTTGGCTCATGGGATGAATTCAAAAACCATCTCTCCCAACCACCTTTTCCTGAAAATAAATCCCACTATATTTCTGAAGATAATGAGTTTTAAGTTAACCTAATGTTCCAACTCTATAAAAGAGGCCCAATAAATCACTGACTGAATCTGCTGTATCTGGGAACTTTGGTAATGTTACAAAAGCAATTATTGATCCAGTATAACAAGCAGTTATAATAATTGTAAACATCCAATAAAATCCAATTAGAAGACGCGTGGATAATTTTGCTGAATTACTCCATGAATATTTCCCAGAAAATGTTAAACTATTTGTAAATGTGCCGAAAACATACCAAAACATGTTCTCCATTTCACCATAATTTCCAATCAAATGTTTAATTGAAAGTTGATCTGTAAAAGCTAATGGAAAAATACCCAACAAATAGACAGCAGTTAAAGCTACCCAAACTTGCCACTGAAATGGACCTAAAATAGCACGCCACCTATTCAAAGTTGAAATTATTATTGTATAATAGTGCTGCTATACAATACTCTAAAAGATTTACTTTGGTAGAGCTTTTGAAGCCAATGTAATGAACGCGGCACAGTCTTTCGAATGCCCCACCGACATATCAATTATCACAACACGATCTGCTGTAATATAAGCTCCAGACATTCCAATATCAGCTTTTCTGTGTTGAACTTCTTCACGTATGGCTTCACCACTCCTTTTAGGGAAAGAGTTTAAAATTAAATATCTAATTTTAGTAGTAAAGTTTCACAACTTGCCCAAGTAAAGCGATATTTGATGGTTCAGCAATTTCATAAGAAAAATTTAATCGTTGCGATAAAATTTTTATAATTTGATATTCTAAACCCTCCCAGTCAATATTAACATTTCCACTAGCATAATCTAAAGATTTTTTTTTAAAAATGAAAGGTGGTTGATCAACAGCTGCAACAAGAAAACGATGTCCAGCAAATCCATCTTTTAATTTTTCTGGAAATAAATTAATATGAGGACGTGTTAAAGCTCCTCTCACCCAACTGGTCAAAACAATTGGTACATTTGATCCCAAACCATCAGAATATAATTTATGAGTATATAAAACATAAGGACGTTCCTGTAAAGATTACATGTCAGAAAAATAAATTTTTTATTTAAAATATTTTTTTTTATTTTCTTTTTCAGGCAAAAATCTTTTACCTTTGTTAAATCGGCTGATAATGATTCTTTAATTACCAAAAGATTAACCAAATTTGAGGATTCTTCTGATGCTAAAAAATCTCTTAATTTCCATTGTGTTGATCTAGCTACAACAACAACACGATTTTCTAATTGAGGTCCAATTATTTTTCTTGTCATTAATGGGTCTGATAGAAATAAAATATAACTACGACAATTTTGTTCACCATTCCAAGTATTCACCAGAGAATTTGATAATTTATAATCTTTATCGATTTTAGCATGATAAAAGGATAATGGAAATGTCTATGTAAAGGAAAAAGAAATCATCTGTTTTATTTAAATGCCCAATGATTAATTTTCCTCAATTCGTTAAATAAAATTCAGCTTACATGAAATAGATTTTGTAGAATGAAACTTTCAGAATCTTCAACAAAGGTATCATAAAAAATAAAGGGTGAACATTTTGATAAATATTCGACAGCGATTTTATTGATTAGTTTAATCAACGATGAAGATTGATCAAAGTTTTTTGATTGCTCTACACGAAAATTTCTTGCCCACAATTCACTTTTAGTTTTTGGATGACCATGAAATGTACTTTGATCAACATAACGACGTTTTCTTTTCATATTATAATTTTCACCTTCTACAATAGATGCACTCTTAGCATGATTAATAACTTCATCACTTATACCGCGTCTTTTATAAATTCCGAAATCTTCACACAAATCACAACGTTCATCAAAAGTACCAACACCATGTAATGAAGAAACTACAAAAATTTTTATAATAATAAGAAAAATTATTAAGGTGCTGCTAATTGTTGCAACCATCCTGCTCGAGAAATGATTTTAAAATAAAATTAAACTTAACGTGGATTTAATTTTAAAAGACAAGCAAATGTGTTTTCTTATAGCGTGTGAATATTTTGTTTCCTTTTTTCTGAATTTTTGATGTTCTTTCCATTTTGTTCAAGAATGCAATGAATTACGTGCAATCAAGACTGTAATTTCAGTAAATCACAGACGTCTTATATGAACATATGCTTGAACTAAAAATATGATGAGTTAATTGGTAAACACCTGGACTTTTTTAATTAAAACAGCTATTTTTCAATAATACTGTTATTATGAAGAACACGATAACTTTTTATTATGTACAATAAACTAAGTTTTCTACTTTTATAAAATGTGAGACATTAAAAATGTATATCGTTTCTATAATTATATTGAGGGGGAAAGAATTTGTAATTTAATTAATACTAAAGGAGAAAATCTAAGGAATCGTAATTGTTGTTTTCAATATTTTTCTTTAAAAATAATAACGTCCTATCCTTAATGATTAAAAATATTTCGTATTGTATCGGAAATTTTATTTTGCACGTGTTCAAAGAATTAATATAATTACAAATTAAAGTTTTAAAATTAGATAAAATAAAGAAGTTTCTGATAATTGACATACCAGCCATTTGAACCAAATATTCATTTAAACGAAAGTACATTTTTGGTGCAAAAATATTATTTAATTGAATGACAAACTGATCATTTTTTGACCGAACTAACAATTTTGAAATATCAAACTGATTTCAACTACAATCTGGGTATGTCAGAATGTTTTGTTTTTGCAATATTTTTATAAAATTGAAAATTTTGTAAACAAACTTTAACTTCAAAAGTTATTCCTTCACCATTTTTCGAAAACGGATAAAAAAAAAAAGAAGATAAAATGAGCTTAAAAAATTTAATTCATAACCGAATTAAAACACTGTAATAAAAATATAGAACTCGGTTGTAATACTGCATTTTGACAGACGACCTATTATCGTTACTCAAAAGTAATTCAGAAAAAATTCAACGTCATCAAAAATTTAAAAACAAACTTTTTTACTTATACATTTTGGAAGAAAATTTTTTTTTGAGATAGCAAAAAAAAAGAAAATTATAATTGGAATTTTATACTTAACGAAATCTATAGATTGATACGTAACTAGAAATTTTTTTACAATAAATATAAAGATTGTCTAGACGCAAAAAAAAGAGATTTTTGATTATTGAAAATTCTTGAAAAATCAAATATAATTTTTTTTTTTATTTTTTGGTCCTTTTATAAAATTCTTTAGGAACATATTTTTACAACAAGAACACTAGGGGAATAATTCCGTTATACAATAAATTTAAAGCTTAATCACAAATTAATTTCGAGATAATTAAGTTATTTATATAAACACACCCTTGAAGAATACTCATACTGAAAGATTCTAAAACACTATAAAAATGTATGGTATGTAATTTGTTTCATAGTCAGTAACGACTTCTACATAATAACAAAATTGCTCCTTAAATAAAAAATGTTTTAAGAAATGGCTACTGCAAATGCAGAATTTTTAAAATCCAAATTACCAACCCGAAAACGGAAATTAAAAAACTCATCTAAAAGTTTTCCTTTCAACAAAAATTAAAGATTACCAATTTATCACTTATCGAAAAATTGGAGTATTTCACATTTCTTTAAAATAGAGACACGATAATATACAAACCCTTGTAAGATCTTGAATATTTCCGAGAGTTGTAGGATTGACATATAAAATTTCAGCTCCCCATATAGTTCTGCATTTCCTTTTTTTGGAAAAAGAAAGAGTACTTTTGATTTTAAATAAATTAATCCTTTTAATTTTTTCCTGCTTTATTTTATATTTTTTATTAAAACTTCAACTTTTTGAATAATTGGGCCCACTCAATATTAAAATTCTCATTAGAAAATTGTATTTATAAAATAATTACTTTATTCTAGGACTATTGATATATAGAAAATTCCAAAATGGTACTAAAATTTTGTAAAAAATTTAAATTGAAATAAAAATTATGTGAAATTTCCTATTAATACCGCCTCATATTTCAAACTTTGCACAAGAAATATATTCAGTACGATTCTCTTTATCAAACAACTTCAAGGAATGAAACATTATAAGTCTATTACTAATAAAATTTTATTTTATGTACCTATATATTGCTTTCACAATCACACAATAATTCAAAATAGAATACCTACATATTATATTATTTGTTAATTATATTGCAACAAACATACTACATTAGTACTTAAAAGTGTTTAAGTCATGAATTTTTATTGTACACATAAAATAATGATGATAGATGTGTACATTACACTTAGAATTTCTTCAATATTACTATACATAATATGCCATCTATTTGTATATTTGTATACATATCTGAATAACTGTAGAAAAGAAATAAATCTTATTACTTATTGGTACAATCTGTAACGAAAGCAATATATAATAATAAATGATCTTAGCTTCACATTACATACAATATATAAATATTTATGCACATAAATATGTACATATAAATATTTTCATTTTGCTTTACTTTGAACTTAATAGGGATGTAAATCAAGGATGTATATTTGAATTTGAATTTTAATGAGATTTTATGTAAATTTTACATTGCTGTGTCTATGATACTATAATATTAAGTCTCCTATTGTATACCTGTATGTTACAAACATGGTGATCATGAAGATTTATGGCCTGCTCTACAATTTTCAATAAAATTATTTCAAGAAATATTTTATAACGTTAGTAGGTATAACTTGAACATCCTTGAAAAATCATGAGAATATCCGTTTTAATTATTTATTAATTATTGGGTTAAGAGGAATTCCAATAAAGGGATCGAGGTTTCTGTTCAACTTAAACAAAGGCTTCATTAAAGTTCGTTCCAACTTATCTATTTTCACTGGTCCTCGACATGTGGTTGTATAGGCGCTTTTAAACTTTAGTTATTTTTCTTCAAAAATTCATTTTTCTAAAATTTTAAACAAAAAAAATATTATGACCCAGAAAAGGAGGATTCAGAAAACTAGTAAATTCTTTCCAAAACAAATTTTTGTTATTAAAAAAAATAAATTAAGAGGAATTTTGAGTGCATCTTTGCATTACACTGTTCATATCATTACGCAAAAACTGAAATTTAGTAAAAAACCCTGTGTAAGACTTTGTTATACCATGTTGCTAACTTTAACTTTTAATCCACAGTGTGAAAAGCCATTTTGTTCACTTTTAATTTAATGTTCAGGAAACGACTTCAAAAAGAGTTTTAATGGCAAAAAAAGACCGTTTTAAATCAATGCAAATTTCATCCACAATACATTTTTTAATCTTCTTACAGTCATTGTAATTTTTGTTATTGAGAAAAAAATTATTTTAACTTTCAGTTATTTTTTCGCATCATTAGCACTAAAATAATTTTTTTTCTTTTTTTTTTTTATAAAAATTAAATTTATTTTCAAGATTCGATCGATACCCTCTTACAATTTATTTTTAATATTTTGTATTATAAAAAATTCCTCATTAAAAAAATGTTTTTTCTTCTTTTCAATTCCGTAGGTTGCAATTTGAATAAGTCAGCCCAATGTCATCATTTGTGTTTACAAAATGATGCTGTTAGAGCAATGAATAATGGTTGTAAATGTAATATAACGAAGATGACGTCACCAAATACAAATGAAAAGCATACAAGTAAGTATTAAAAATAATAATTACAAATACAACATATAAAAGTATATGATATTATGCGTATACGAAATTTTTAAGAGTCTACGACAAGATTTTTCTCACTTCGTAAGAATTTGCATAAACAATATTTGAATTTTAATGTTTGGTCCTTGTTAGTAGCTTTCTTATCAGACCATTATAGAATCCATGTTACAACATTTTTCTCTTTCGAATTTTTTAAAGGAATTGTTTGTGCGGGAGTGTACATCTCCTCGTTTATGTCTCCTCAGTATGTCTACAGTAAGATTATGTTTCAATTTCAATAATTAGGAATCGCCCACGGGTATCCGAAATTAAAAAATTACTACTTTCTACATAAAATGCATATTAAATAAATAATGAAGACAATATTTCGCGTTATATGAAAAAAAAAATTTTATGTAATTGCACAGAGGTACACATTGTGTACCTGTATAGTTTATTTTAACGTAAGTTTATAAAAAGTACTTGATAGTAGTTTCTATTTGATAGTATTTTCTTTTTTGAACCGTCAAAAGCTACATAACGACTGCATTTTGATAAAAATGTGCAAAAATGATGTAGTACATAGCATGTTTTATGTTAAACTTAATTTTCAGATACGAGAAGGGTTAACGCAACGAATTAATTACAGTTTTGCTTAAAATACAAAAAAAATTAAAAAAAAAAATTATTTTATTTAGAAAATGTATTTGGTGAAAATTATAATTAGCTATGTAGATGTATCAAATTTTGTGTTTTTCAATTCAACTATAATAAGTTGACAAATTCCATACATGATAACAAAATGTCAATATTGAAATATAAGCTATTTGCTGAATGAATACTCTTTTAATATTGAGAAAAACAAAATTTACGGCAATCAAACTAAATCCACAGAATTCACCATTCTGTAGTATAGATTTTAAAATTTGGATTTCTATCAACTGAAAGGTAAATTTTAAATTTATGTTAAAAGTAATATTTGAACAATGATTAAAAGCAAAACTTTTTATACTTACTAATGGTTCCACCATTAAATAAAATGCAAATATTTGATAGACCAAACTTATTTCTGTACACAATATTAATTTTGTCAATAATATTTTTTATGCAAATATTAAATAATTTTGGTACCTTATTAATTCTAATAATTGGTAGGTAATAATATTCATGGCAGAAATGAAGAATTTATTTTGTTTCGGCTTAGAACTGATCATCACAATAGCACTAAGAGCTTCTATAAAAAAATATTCTGGAAAAAAGTTTAATGGCAGCACATAGGTAGTTTCGAAACAAAAAATAACCAATTTGTATTTTTTCTAAATTGTTTTTATTTAAAATTCTATATAAAACAAAATTGACAAAATTTAATTTTAAAAAAACTTTGACCTAACAATTTTTTTGGGTAACACTAGGATCTTACAAATTACTTTAAAACGACTGATAAGAGCACTCGGCACTGTGATTACGTGCTACCAAAAATTTTTTGAAAAATTTGAAACTGTGCACTCGAAACGAAACAACGTGCTAATGCGTTTTTTTTTTTGAAATTATACGTTTTATTATATAGAGAAGAATATAGAGAAGTATTAACTTTGGTATGAAGTTCTTAACCACTTGAAGGACTCAGCTGCATTATACATTTTTTTGGTCAGCGTAAAATTTTTCGTCAATTATAAATGACGCGACAACTCGAGAATAAAAAAAAGCAAACACCACAAAACATTTAAGACTTTTTCTTTTCTTTCAAGGACAGCTGGTATTGTAATTATGCTACTGGTTCGGCTACTGGCCATACGACTCAACAAGGCTATTTCAAATATTTTAAAAACTAATACATACTCGTATATTATCATAATAATGTAATGTGTCCAATCATAGCCCAAAGAAATTCTAAAGGCTTTGGTGAAATATCTTGACAGGTTCGCTAAGCTCCCATACAACCATAAGAGCTTACAATTTTAAATATTTCAAAAGTATAGTTTTTATAATTAATTTGTGGTGTAGGGTATAATTTAGTTGGTTAAGATCGACTGAAACGTTTTTACTTGTTTTCCATTAAATTATTACGAAAAATATTAATTGTAAAATTTTAAATCACACAAGTGTATAATCTACATATAAGTATATGAAAGTTTTTCATTAATCAAGAACATGATTCTGCATTAATTATGTTTGTGTTGCTTACTATGCCAAAGGCATTGTATTATTTGATAGTTGAAAGGAAAATGCAATTTCCATTGTTTTGTTTTTACAACAAAAATTGCAAAGCATGCGATAAGAACTCATCTGGTTGGGCGATTGTAGTTACTGACATTGAAATATGGCTATAAATGTTATGTGCATTTTGGATTTTATTTATTTTTCATTTTTTTATTTGACTATGAACGCAATTTGTATAAAGTTTTGTTGTTGTGTTTCTTCATTTGTAACAGCTATTATTAAAGTCTTAGATACTAAAATAAAATTCTTACCAAATTTCATGATTGATTCGTCTCCTTTGTCCTGATATTACAATATTGGCACAATATTACTCAAAAATATATAACACAAAATTGATTTAACAGGTAATTTGAAAAGGCAATATTGGTACACTGGCTAAAAATAGTTAAATGACATAAAAGGCAAATAGTATGCCATGTCTTACTATTGGTCTCACAAAACTCTTATTGCGCTGATCTTTAAGTCAATTTGTATCTCATAAACAAACAACGTCCAAATCTTTGTCTTTATGGAACGTTCCTGACGTTCTCAAAGTATGATATAAATCTCTTTGAAAATTCAACGTGACGATATTGTTTGTTTTTATTCATTTTGGATTTCTGTGTTTCAATTTTCTAGTTTTTGATTTTAAACCTATTCCACACCAGTTTTCCTTTCCTAACTCCTTGTTTCTAATTGTTCTTGGTCAAAATATCAAAATATTACGGATTATATCATCACACATTAAATTCATTTTTAAAAATATGTATCTCGTTTTTTGAGCTACTCATTATTATTACCTTAATATCAGTATTAAACCTTCCGTCTGTAACCGTATACACATTTGTACTTTAACTATGTTGCCGATCCACGATAACTCAAAAATGAATCTATCAAACTTTATCAAGCTTTCAAGTATTGTTTCTTTTCTGCCAAGGGCTGAGCATATTGCAACTGGAACGTAAAGAGTTTATTTTAAATATTTCAAAAACTAATAAAGATATTAATATGAAATTTTGTAAACAGGTGTCCAATAATTTCATTTAAATATTATATTCTGAAAATTTAAATGGAATGGCTGCACAGTTTAGGATAGCTCCCATACAACTCTAAAAGCTAATATTAAATATTCGGAAAATTAATAAAGTTTGGTTCAAGAGATTTGGGAGTCATGTGTTTAATTAAAGGTCAAGCAAATCCGTAAAGTTTTTATGCGGTAACGTCAAAGGATAACAACAATAAAAGCTAATTCTTAATATTTCAAAAATAAGTTTTTAGATTCAGATCGTCAAGGTGTAGGATATAATTCTTGTTTATGTTAAAAAATCCTTACTATAAATACTATAAAAATTTGCACTGATTTAAATAATCAAAACAAACAAAGATATTAAAAACAAAACCAATTCTTTTGTAGTATCATGTCCATCATAGCATATATCCTATTGTTGTGCTATTACAGTTAAGTGCTTATTCATAAAGTTTTCCATTTTTTTTAAATCTGCAACCTCGCAAACATTACTGATTTATATTTACTTTATGTTTGTTTTTGTTACTTTTATATTTTGATTGACAATGATCTTTTTCCAGTTTAAATTTTTCGCTTGAATTTAATTTTTAAAATGAAAGTTGTAAAAAAAAATATTTTGTTATCATTGTACAATGAAACATGCGAAAAGGAATATTCAAAAATAACAGTCCTTTCATTGAATTGCTGTAATCATTTACAAATTTCATTCTTGGCAAGATTTTGCTGAATGCCATACTTAAAATGCCTTATTAAAAAAAAAGTGGCTAAATCTTGATGGTGTTCTAATAATTTGTACCAAAGTAGCAACACTCAGCTTTGTTCAATTCTGAAAATGAAAAAATAAAACTTCTTAATAAAGTTATTTCTAATAATATAAAAGGCATTTTAAATTCATATGAATCATATGTAAATACTTCTGCTGAAACAAAATGGATAAGTTTTGATAAATTTCTCACTTTTTACAGACAAACCCCTTTTTAATATTGTGCAAATTAGCAATTACAAAGTTAGTAGAAAAATAACCTGTATAAAAATTTAATTAATTTATGGAGTTGACACAGTGAAAATAAAATTTATTCAAAAATTATGAAAAGGCAGGAGAGGTTCCGTTAATTTTAAGATATCTGTGCGAAATATTAAATTAATAAGAAATGTTGAAGTTTCCCTAATCGCATAACATTTGAAAAAGAGTTGGAAAACTATTGTCTGATAGAGCAAAAATTTATTTTAAGCAAAAAACACTGTGAATTAGCATTATTTTACAACCGATAATTTATTGTTAGGTAACGATTCCTTTCGGGCATAATAAATGAAATTGCAAATTTTGTAAACAATTTTAAATTAACTGCGTTTCATAGACATCATTATTTATGCTTCCGATGAAATCAAGTAGTTTCACTAACAATAATATTCTGATAATAATATGCAATTAACTTTCACAATGCCACAATATTGAATTATTATTAATTAAAATGAAAACAAAATATGCGTTATAGTAAATTTAATTACATTTTGTTGCGTTATTAATGAATAATTATCTAAATAATATTGATGTTTATATAATAAAAATTTAATTAAATTATAAAATATTTTATATATGCCTATAAGTTTTCTACTTTTTTCGTGTTTGCAATTTATGACATCAATACTAAATCTGATTTATTCAGATATGAATTGGTTTTAAAATATTCAATTTAAATGAATTGTTTTGCATTTTAATTCCATTTATGATTATAGGATTATTGTAATTAATAAATTTGTAAATAAAATGGTGAGCATGAATATGCAACCATATATGTATATAAATTATATTTAGCGTAAGTAATGAACAAATGATCAGCGGTATAAATTATTAACATGGAACGAGTAAAATTATTTAAGTTAAAATACTAAATAATGGGCAAGATTACGGTGTGAACGCCACATTTATACTTAAAATTGTTAATTATTTTATTTATTAAAATTTGTTTTACAAGTGTAGATCATTTAGATATATCATAATTTCAACTAAGCAATTGAAATTTAGTCATACAAAAATTAAAAATTAGAACAAGCTACCCCAAGTTTTAATGTATGTAGATGAGTTACTTTTGGCTCTCTATTGCTTTAATTTGTTGCACATCGAAGACAAATCTTATTTTTTCATTTTGCTGACATTTCTTGACTTATACGTTTACATTATGTAAATTAATCAAGTATCATATTTAAGTTGAGCTTTATTTTAGTGAACATTTACATTTAGTGATAAAAGGTCATCTATTCGTATTTTAATCACTTGCCAGCTAACATTTTGAGATTAAAATTCCCATTAAAGCAGAGACCCTAACTTATGATAACATTCTAAATTTAATTATTTTCCACTTGGGCTACTTAATAGAAAAATTTATGTTCTTTACCTGAAAATCAATAAAGTTCTTCTTTGATGGGAAGGATCCTCATTAGAAATAATTAATGCAGGAAACTATAGAAATAGCATTTATTATGTCGAAAACAAATTGCTGGTACTCGTATACAGTCGAAAACAAATTATTGGACAAATATAGATAAAAATTATACCTGTCTTAAGTGCAGTTATGGCTCAAACTATTACAAGTTTCGCGATGCCAAAATTTTTGTAAATTTTTTGAGCACATTACTTAAAAATGTACCCACTACTTTAAAAACCATTTTCCATTTGAAAATTTCCAAACTTAAAATTGAATTTCAAAAAGAAAAACCTTCTATAAAACAACCAAAATCCTTAATTGAAAAATTTAATTTTTTTTAGAGTACTGTAACCAAATTTTTCTACAAAAATTTATAAATTATAAATTCAGCCATAATTTTATGTTCTAAAATTACATCCAAAAACAAAAATTTATTCTATAACTAATTCAAACCATTACTCAACTCAAATGGAAAATTGTGTACAACCATGCCAAACTCAAAAAAAAAAAAATACAGCACTTTATAAATAAAATAAAAATAAACACCTAATATAATAATAATTTAAATATAACCTACATTTAATTATATTTTAACTATTATTGTGAGAACTAATTACGGCAATTTAAATAAAATGAGTTGAAAAAAAAAATATGAAAAAAAAACAAAGTATAGGTTGAAACGGTAAATGGCAGATAAAGATTTTATAAAATGTGGAAATTGTGGTAATAAGGATGAAAGCCACAGTTTAATGATGAATAAATTTTAATGTTTTTTATATAATTTTCATTATCCTTATGACGTTTTGTTTTTTTTTTCATTTTTGTTGATATATAGAATATATTTTTGAATTTAATTTTAATTTTACCTTAATTTCTATGATAATTAAAAAATTTCTAATTCACATAATTATTTTATAATATTATTATAGAAAACAAATTACATGAAATATAAAATTAATCTATGATTATTATAATTTATTACACTCTCTTGAATGTAATCTTCGAATATAAAATTTTGTCAGAATATAAAATATTCATTCATTTAATTTAGTTTGTATAGTTAATAATAACAATATTCTTAATAGACTGCTAAAAATTCATAGCTTTATATACATATGTATAAATTCATAAATGATGGATCATAAATATTATTTAAACTGTGAAAAGCTAAATACAGTAGTTCGGGAGTTTTCTATGAAAATCAAACAGATTTCCTTTGAATTTTTTAAAACCTCATTTTTGTGATTTAGGTATAACTATGGTAATTATGTTAAAATCTTTTAAAAAATTTTTATTAAAGTTGAATCAAATAAAAAAAAACACTAAATATTTTGATAACAAAGTATTTGAAAATTTTGTTAAAATTCATTTTCTGTCATTCATTAATTTTCAGATCGGACTGGCAAAACTCGTTTCGAAGTGACAATTCGTTTGGGAACAAATTTAACTGCCCTATTTCGTTCTGTTGAAAATGCTGATAAAAAATCTGGTGAACATCATCTACCTACATTACTTGAAAAATTGGTAAGTGTGCTTTTTTAACTATAGGTAGTTGTAATTTTAAATTTACAATTTAATACGAGTATAAAATGTCATTTGAATAAAAATATGTCAAATAATTTAACTAATACTGTGATGATATACAGGGTATTTCACATAAGGTGACAAATAATTTCAAGAATTATTTTCTTTTCTTTTTTTTATTTTTAATTATTTTCCATCAAAAAATTGTATGGGGGAGTTTGTAAATATACTCGTTTCCATTTACCGCCTTTTGCAAAAGGTACTCGATTTTTTCCTTATAAACAAATGCTTATAACTTTAAAATCATGCAATATTACCCTATATTGTACTTGTTTTATAGACAATTGATTGCTCCTTATTTGCGGTCTTACAATCAACTTGATATGCGCCATAACTTTCCAGATAAAGCTCGTCAAAGTGACAATTTTTGTTTTTTTTTTTTAAATTTCTTTTAAAAACTCGAAATTTCCGTACCACCCATACAACTTTTTGCTGCAAATAGATCTTCCACAGAATTATGTGAAACACCCTTTATAAGTATATTCTTCTTACTAATATGTATAAATACTAATATTTGCAAATATTATAAGAATTGATTTTAAGAAGACCTCTTAAAATCAAAAATTATAAATTAAAATAAATAATTAAATTTCAATTAAATTTCTATAAAAATTTTCCCTTTTCTATAAACTCAATATATTAATAGACTTTTAACTAAATATTTATATTCTTAAAGTAAAATTTGATAAAAATCTATTGATTTTGAATTTAAATAAAAATTTTCGAATTTAATGTTCACCTTTTGTTCTTCTAAAAATCTTACTTTCCTTTTGTTTTCAAAAAACCCAAATTTTTGCCACACAATTACCACATTTATTTCTAATGCCTTCAATATAGTCATTAAATTTAATAGACTCGATTTATTTTAATTAACATTATCTAAGATCAACCCATATTCCCTATTGAAAATTCTTTTAGAAAAAAAGAAGAAAGAAAATGGAGTATTAGAACGTTATTCAATTCAACTTATTTTATTTTGTGGAAAATAATTATGGGGGACATTTTTAATTATTTGAACTACTACTTTTGTTTAATTTTTTTTTCTTTATAATGATAATTCAGCATATTTGAATTAAATATTTTTGAGATTTAATCATTGTAGAACAATGGTATAGAACAGAAATAGTGTTGGATCAATGGTATAAATTGCTGTTTGGAAATCCTTTTTAAAAAATAACAATATGTTGGAGCTCTTTTATGTAATAACATGAAAATAATTTTAAGATGTAAAACATAATTTAACATTTAAAAGTGATTTTTAAAAAACCAGTTCTTTGAAATTATAGGCTTCATATACAATTTTTTTAAGAACTTTATATATGTAGATTGTGCTCAGTGGGACATGAAATAGGTAAACTAAACAAAAATATCAAAGAGAATTCAAAATTTTCTAGATAAAATTATGAATAACGCAAATTTATTATTTCAAATTAAATATACATATATGTATATCTACATATTATTTTTTTCTACTTTGCATAAACATCTGTGACAATATGCAAATTTTAATTTCCTACATGTCCTTTATTTCCCAAAGCTAATTTTGCAATTTTAAAATACTCAAAGTTTCATAAAATTAAACGAAAATCAGAATTAAGTGAAATTCACATACGCATATTTTAGCTTGCTCGCATATTGCCCCATTCTGTTTTTCATTGCTTTTAAATTTTCAAAAAATTTAAGCTTCTAAACAAAATTTTTAATTTTAATATTAATGGGCTGTGAGTTTTTTTAAAAAATATCATATGTCTCTAATTGATTATTCAATTTTTTTATAAAAAATATGTTGTCTATTGATAGGTGGATAGATTTCTCTATTGGTAGCATACCTTACGGCACTTTTTCTTTTCTTTTTTTTATTTTTCTAATCTAAATTTATTATTTAATTTTTGTTGCTTTTGTAAAACATTTCTACAAATTGATGAATAAAATTAAATAAAGAAATTATGTGAAAAAACAATGATAAAAATAAAGCAAAAGCAAATTTTTATTAATTCTGAGAAACGATAAATTTGAAAAGGAATGGGATAGAAGCAAACATTTAAGTAAAATAAAGTACTTGTTACATTTACCTTCTATGAAAAAATTATACGGACAATTCAAAACAATATTAGTTTGAATTACAAGTTAATATAATCTATGTCACAATAATCTCTTTGAACAAAAAATGATTAACAGGGCATACCGAAATCGTGAAATTAGGAATACGTTTGTAGTTGTTTTTCTAATCTAAATTTATTATTTAATTTTTGTTGCTTTTGTAAAACATTTCTGAAATAAGAAAAAACTCTTACGGCATTGATTCCATCCGTCGGTTGCTATTTTTAAAAAAATTCTAAAATTTTTCATATATTTCCCGTATTAAATGTTTGTATAACACATACATTTTTAAGATTAGTTTTAAGAATAAATTGTACCTTATATTGTGCAATATTGTCTGCTTTTGCATATACTCGTAAATTATAAAATCCGTAAAAACCCACATATTCTCGTATATCATACTATAGATGCATATTTAGCAAATATTAATAAAAGATTAAAACTATAAGTAAAAGCTGAATGTGAGAGGGAAAACGTAAATTTCAAGGTTTCTAGACTTTGCAAAAAAAATCGAAATTTGCCATAAGGTAGACGAACCTACACACAGTTTTAATAATATTATGAAAGACAATAAATAATGCAACATTAAAAAAATTATTGTTGAATACAAACAACTACATTAAATTACAAAGCTTAATGCAATTATAAGATGAAAAAGACACTCGCCATATCTACTTAGAATTATCGTAAATGATTTATGAGAAACATAGAATTATCGTATATTATTATAGTAAGGCATCTTTTATAGATTGTTGCAAATCAATTTTTTTTAAAATATATTTACAATTTATATCTGAAAATCAATTTATTCTTTTAATACAATATAACAACATTAGCTACTAAAGGTAATTCTAAGCAAGTGACATACACTTAAAGACACAAAGGTTTTTATAAATATAATATATAGTATAGTTAAAAATAATATTATATGTACATAGAAATAGCTTTCCCCTATAAAAACATTTTTTTAAAAGAATAAAAAAAAAATATTTTCATTTTGTTGCTAATGTGCTCAAGTGCTTGGTAGTTTTTCTAATTCTAAAAGTCGTATTCATAAAATAACAATATTGTAGCAGCTTATTAGGTTAGCAAAATACGAAAATTTTTAAAGGAATATTTTAGAAAGAAAATATTGTATAAATTTTTATGCATACATTTTTCCCCATATTTCACAAAATACGAGTACGATTTAAAAATAATTTTTGTGTTCATAAAATATTCACCCTTATTATATACAACTTTATAAATATTTTTTAAGTGACTCGATATTTCACGTGATTTAATTTTCCTATAAGTAAGTGTACAGAAAAAGAAAAAAAAATTTTACCTTGAACATACTCGATCGTACTTGTACATAGTTTCCCGCATAGTCCTTTCTGGTAAATTGTAAATAAAAGTAGGAAAAAATTATTTTTTACGTTTTTCTCAAATAGCCAAGAAATAGGGGGTTGTATGTAGAAAAAAAGAAAATAAAAAAAAAAAAAAAAACAGTTTTCTCAGAGTTTTTAATTTGTTCCTCTCTTGAAATCAAGAATCAAGAGACCTTGCATTATTATTTGTTTCTGTTTTTGATTTTGTTATTTTTCTTTATTTTTTATTATTTTTATTTTTAGCATAGTTTTAAGGGTTTGCAAGTACCGCACAACAAATGTAATAAATTTCAATTTAAGATTTAAGTTAACAAGAGAAAGCATAAAAAATAATAATAAATTGCAAATTTTAATGCCCATAAAATTGCAATTTTAAGATTCTAATGTTCTCTTTACTTATATAAGAGAAAAAACGAAACGCAATGTTAAAATTAGAGTTGTTATTGAATACGAACCTTACAAGGGGGATGAAATTTTATTGTGCTGTTAAGTAAAATTCATAAAAGCGATTGAATTTTAATCCTAGAAAAAATCATTTCCCATACTATATTTTCCAACGATTAAATACTTTATGGGCCTATTAGTTTTAAAACATGGCATCGGTGCTTTTAGTACAAGATGAAACAAAATGTGTTCGAAACATAAAATTTCTTTACTCTGGCACGACCTAAAAGAACCTACTCTATAATAGACGAAGATATAGCTTTTTTTCACAAAATTTAAATAATGTTCCTGTAATGCTTTTCATTAGTAGACTAGTCAGAATTTCTTATATTTATAAAATCGTTAGACTTTCACGTTCCTAAACGTAAGAACTTCACATAAGCATTTCTTATATTTTTCTAGACTTTCACGTAATAGTATGTGCGTTACGTATAAAACAACCGGAGCACATTTTTAATTTCAATTCACCGAATAATTCAAACGTAATATTAAAAACATTTTCCTCGCTTCCTCCTTAATACTTTAATATTTTAAAGAAACTCCCAGATTTTTCTATGAGAAATTTTTCCTAAAATATTTAATGTTCTTTTTTAATATTTAATGACGTCAATACAAAGACTAATACTCGTAACTGTAGGTATAAAGACTAAATGCAAAATAAATTAAATCTTAAAAAAAATCTATAAAAATACCATAAAAACTATTAGAATAAAATATATAAATATATTTTAAAAATCAATTTAAAACGGTTAACTTTGGTCTTTAAAAATTCATAGAGCATATTATACATGAGTAATGTAAGACCGTTATATCTTTAAGTGCTTAACCTTAACCATACTTAGAATTGCTTTCTAACTTGAATTTGTTGCTGTTGTTTATCGCTGCTCCTACTTTTATTATCTTTATTTTGATCATCATAATATAACTATTTATTTTTATGTAAATAGCTCTAGCTGTATTTACAATATTGTGATTCATTTCGTCTATATGTACTTTTACGCTTACCATTTTATTTTTTAAATAATTGTACTACAGAGACGGTTAAAACAACATAAAGGAAATGGGAGACTTCGAGGAATATTATTATCGCAAAATTAGAGAAGAAGAATAATCACATACACATCTATACATACATAGCTACATAATTGCAGCATCCATATACATAAATAATAACTTTATATACATGCATATCTAAATACCTGATGCTTTACGTTTTATGTTTTATTTTTTGCATTTCTCCTTCAGAATATACTATAAATATTATATGTAAATTTAGAGCTGAACAGCGTCATTAGATTGCTGATAATTTAGTATTGTATAAATGGATATATTACCCACCATTACATATATTTTTGTGCATCTATTTCGCAATAATTTATAAATAAAGGTGTGCACTCACCAGGTGTTTCAATAATAAATCAACTCCATTATATAAGCTTGTTGCTGAACGAGTTTATTACTACATGTACTAACATACTATTACAGGGCCCTAATTAAAAGAGGAAAAAAATAAAAATGAAAGCAATAGAGAAAAATATAAAGGGACACAACGTAGAGGAACTTAAAAAAACATTTAAGAGCAGTTAATTTTGTTCTCTTGCTACATTTAACAATTATTTATTTTAAAATAAAATATCTTCAAACAAATAAAAAAGTATACCTACAACAATTTATTAAAAAAATGTGATATTTTTTTAAAATTTAATTTCTAATGAATTGTCGATTTCAAATTCAGAAATTTCCTTGAAATACTATTGAAACATATATAGGAGAAGCAAACATTGACTCTCACCTATGTAAAATTTAATTTTCCACACAAAAAAAAAGTCATATTTGAAGCCCAAAAAATATTTGATTTACATGGCCTGAAATATTTATTGAAATTTTTCTATATAGAAAAAAAATTTTATTACCTGTTTGATGCCGCTGCAATATTCGCATTACAGACTTGATCGTTCAACTCCTTAAATTTTAAGTGGGAAGAACTATGTCACGAACAACTAAAAAAATATCTAGGTTTTGTAGAGAAATACCATACTCAATCAATCGAACAAACGGCCAAAAAGCGATTGCATACTGTCGCATTTTTTCTCATCCTTTATTGTTTTTTCGTATCGCTGTTTCCTTTGACTTTTTTATTCCATTTTTTATCAATTAATTTTGCTCTATATCCTTTCGTTTCTTTTTCTTGGCACACTTTCAAAGACACAAAATTTTTATACTCTTAGTTTGTTCCTTGCTGTTTTTTTTCTCAACTTTAATACAGAAAGAATTAAATTTATACGCGAAAAAATAGAGTTGATCGAAACAACTCTGAGGTTATACTGGTTCGAATATATGTATTTACAAAAGCTGAAAAAAGAATCCTTTAAAAAGGAATTATGGACTTAATGCAACTAATTATTTTTAATTGTTACAAAAATTTATCAAACAATAGTTAGACATAGTCGTTATAATATGAGTAAATTTTTTTTTTGTCTTTTACAGCAGCTGATTAGACTCACAGCGTTCGTTGCGGTAATTACTTTTGACAACTTTTGAACGTTTTCTAAGTCTAGCTGGGATAGACAGACAAACAGAATTTAACTTTTAGAGAAAAGTGAATATATAAATGGTCGTATCAGAAGTTCGATTTAGAGTGGTAAACTCATAATACCCTCGAATATTGCTCGTAATACGAATCCAAAAAGAAAAAAGATTTCTTTTACAATTCAAGTATACGAAAATATGCGAGCTAAAATGTGGTTAGACAAACAAATAAAAAAAAACTTGTTCCTTTTTTGTAAAATGAAGAACTAACAAAATTGGAATAGACTGTCTAGAAAGAAAAAAAAATGTTTAGAGAATAAAGCTTTATATAATACTCTTAAAGTTTTATGATATTAACGCTTGAATCATAAAGTTCCATACATAATTTTATAGAAACTTAAAAAGGATTTTATTATTTTCCTTTCGCGTAAAAAACCTTTGTCTTCTTACCTAAACATTTATTTAATGCTGAACCATATTCTTTTATAAAAATAAAATTATTCATAAGCTAAAAAATTTTATTTTATTTTTAATATTGCAATATAAATCTTATTAAATTTCTTTAAATTTTAGTAAAGTTTTAAATTTTTAAATTTAAGTATTGTGATGGCAAGATAAAATTATTAAAAGTGTTTGTTAATTCCTTTTTATCTTTCATATATTTGGGAAAATAAAAGGCATTTTAAATATCACTTTAAAAAATTCTTGATACCTTAAATAGCGCGACCTTTCAAAATTATTCCTTAATCCCTATATTCTGTAACTTACGAAATGGAAATATCAAAAAATACTGCATGTTTGCTTAAGTTTAAAAAACTATCATTCGAGTTTAAAAACAAGCAGTATACTACTTAATTCACCCTATAATTGGCTATAAGTGAACTTTTTGGAATACCTACTAAACAATTAATTTAAAAATTTACAAAATGGCGAACAAAAGGAAAGGCATAAATTTGTAAAGTAAAAAAAAAATTAAAAAGAAATTTTTTTCTATCTTTGAAATAAAATCTAATTTCTTTTTTTAAAAACAAGAGCCAAAATAATGTCTTTTAGTCTTTTATAATTAAAAATTTTTGAAAATAATGCATTAAATTCTGATTAACATTAGAATCAAAACGTGTACGCTAATGTATGAAAATTTAAAAAAATTCTTAATGGTTTTAATTTAAAATTTATTTTTAGGCGTTTTTTTTTTTTAAAGTAAAAATTATAAGTCCAAACGCTTTACATTGATATCACTCACATTGATATAATATATCAAATATATAATTAGGCGATTAGTGCAAGTTCACATAGTTACCATTTCGAGTTAGGTCATGTGTGAATTCGACAAGAACTCCGGCTACAACAGTTGTAGAACCACCAAATTTTGTGAGCATATGAAACTCAAAACTGAGAATTCGCTGGTAAACATATCTCATTTTTGTCTTAACTCGAGTTAGGCGTTTCGTGTTTGAGGCCACTGATATTCAACATGAGTTTTATTAGTTATTAATCGAGATTCCCACTAGAATTTCATACCATCACTAAACTTAGATCCATGCGCGAAATAAATTTTTTTAAATTATGCCTTCCTTTTATAATAAAAAACGTACTGAAATAAAAATATGAACTTTAAAAATGTTGAATATACTTTTGTATCCTGTAAAATTATTTCCACTGCCTCCCAAAATTATTAAAGATAGAACTTGAATATATTTTAAAAGTTATTAATTTAACAATATTTTTAAAGCTTGTAATTTTTTCTTTGCAGGTTTAAATGTTAAAATATTTCATTGAAATAATTATTTCATTATCATAACTATAATTTTGCATAAATTCAGGTTCAATTCTTGAAGTTATAAATCACAAAAAAGAATAAAAACGGATAGAATTGTCAACTCTATAATACCCGACTGATTGAATTGTATTACTCTTACTAGAAACATACACTGCTTTAGGCAATATTTTTACTCACCGCATTGCATACATAAGGTAGGATATGTGATAGCAACCAAATTTTGGATGTCGAGTTTTCGCTGGGAACGCACTTTTCCACAGTAGGGAAGCGTAAGTAAACTACGTTTAGAGAGATGTCGGTTTGTCGGCCTGTCAGTCGGTCGCTCACGGGTGGTTTTCAAGTTCGGCTGAACCTGAAGTTTTTAAGTTCGGCTGATGTTCATGAAATTTCATACGTGAGGTTATTTTGGCTATGGCACGGATTGATAAACTTTTGGGATATGTCAGACATCGGGAACTGAACCTTTTTGCGTGCCGATTTTACATTTTTGCGTATATAAAGACAAGTAATCAACAAATTTCATTGAAATTTAACATTTAAGTTCGAGGTGTTAAAACAATCTATAACATGAATCTATAAATTTTTTGGAAAAATCAGTTCTCGGAAACCGAAGTTGGGAGCGGATTTTATTTTTCTAGATATGTCCAAAAGCTTTCTAACTTCCTTAAAAAATAAAAGAACTGTTTGTAATGCATTTTCATAATCTTCAGTAAAACTTTCACTAAACTGGGAATTGTACGTTGCGATCGGTTATGCACATCAGAGTCTTTTTTATTTGGTAATGTTTTAATTTGAATACTAATAAACTGGTGTCAACCAAACCAGGTACATGTTATTTTGCAAAAAAGGGACGATTGCACTTTGAGTGAAACTCCTTTTTTGTTTATTTTAAGAAATACTTCCCGAGGCTACGCAATGAGAGATATGTACGTTTTTAAAACTGAATTCCAAAAACAAAATTAACGAATTTAAATATAACCTACCTTGTTGCCTCCTTTTAAAGAGCCCAATTTAAAAATAAAAACCATTTTTAATTATTTTATTTACAATTATTATAAAGCACCATTTTATACGCAGCAATAATGAGAACAACATTAGAGCAAATTTATTCCATGGATTATTATTAATTAAATTGGTCATTAAGATAAAAAATATACATTTGATTTCAAAACAATATTAAATAGGTTTACAAATACATAATCCTTATTTAATAATATTATATTGCAAGAAATGAATTTGAAAAGCAAAATTACTGTAAAAAGCTGAAATAAACAATAAACAAAAAAAATATTTTTTTTTCATTCAATTTTCCTAATATAAAAACATACTAAAACTATCCTTCAAATACGCATTTACATACAATGAATATTATTTCCTGCATAACATTTTTTCTATTGAATTTTCAATACATTTCCACGTATTATATTGAATACATCATCAAAATTAATCGATGATATTATGTGTTAAATTGATATTTTCCTCATCATCCGGTCTATTGCCACCACCACTGAATCTTTGTGGTACTGAATTTGCAATTGAATTTAAAACATTACGTACATTCGTATTCGCTGAATTTCTTGCCTTCTCTTTCCATGATCCTTTTGATATTATATTAGGATTATGATTTTTATTATCCCTTGACAATGATGATGTAGATTGATGATTTTGTTCAAGTATTGTTGGCATTACATTATTTCCAATGCTACCACCAATACCACCAGTACTATTTCTATTATAACTAGCATTATTATTTGATGATACATTGATTATATCAGCTGTACTACCGTTGCTACTATTATTCAAATTATTAACATTTACATCATTAATTCCATTGCTGTTATTGCTATTCTTGTTTTTTGCATTCATACTTTCTAATATAGCTTCGCTACGTGGAGATGACGATAATTTTATGCTAGTATTACGTTTTGAAGGTTTTCTATTAAATATTGAATTTGAACGTGCACGTTGTTTCATTGAACTTTTATGAAAAGGATTTTTATTGATTTCATCAATATTACCACCACCATCAACTAAATGGCTATAGATTGTATTAAAATCATCAGGATTTTTATTACGATTCTGTTGTTGATCTTGTTGTTGTTCTAATAATACTGAAACTAATTTATCTAATGCCTTAAGGTCATAATTCAATTTTGAATTTCGTAAAGATGATAAACCACTTATTGCAGCAGCAGCACTAGTAGCATTTGTATTTATATTGCCACCAGGAGATCCAATACCAACAGTATTATGATGATGAGGTAAACGTTGCATTAACTGTTAAACGAAAATATTAGTAAAAAAGAGAAGAAAAAAATAAAATGAATATTTTCATCAAAATTTCATTTTGTTGGTGAGAAAATGGTGAAAAACTTATTATGTTAACGAAACTGTAAAAAAAAAAAGAAACAATAAAGAAAGAAGACAAAAAAAATGTAAAAAAGTTTCTTTTAATCATTTTTATGTCCTAAAGTTCTGTTTATATTTTTCTTGGAAATCCAAACAAAAAAAGGAAAGTTAAATCAAATTTTATATATTTTGAAACATGCAAAGTAGCAAGTGGACGATAAAATCTAATGTGAGATTTTACCTTCACATAATTTCTCGCTTTTTTCTGTTTATTTTCTTGCGTTCACCTTTGGTATTTAAATCTGAAAATACATAATGTTTGGGTACTTTCTTAATTCTTAATCTGGGAAACGTGTAATATGGTATTTGCAAAAACTCATTCTTTGAATTTTTTTTCGGTACTTTCATATACGGTAAATAATGCGGGTTAATTTATTATAATAAAGTTGTTATTTTTCTTCTGCTTTGTTATTTTTCTTATTTTTGCCAAAAAATTTTTCCAAATCACCTAAGGCATAAAAAGGAATTTTTCTATTAAAACACAAAACACAAAAAAAAAAATATCTTGTCGAAACTTTTCACAATGAATTTTTCAGTAGAACATTGAAAAAAGTAAAATACGCATAAAGTAACAAGATAGCACTAACAATAACCAAATTAACGAGATATAGTTACCAAATATGTATCAGAATCCGAAAAGGAAAAAAGTTGACCCATTAATATTTTAGATATACTTAAATTCATAGTCTTTCTTTTATTATAATAAGAGCTTGTAAATCTTCAAAAATTAGTTTGTTAACATGAACGTGGTAAGAATTAAAATTCAATATTTACACGCAATACCGCATTGAAATACAAGTGTGTAGGGGTATAAGGTGCTTAAATTAGTTGGTAAATGTTCCATTAATGTTAGTAAGTAGGCATATAATATATGTATGTATGTGTGTATATATTTAAAGACTAAACCATAAACATAATTTCACTACACATTGAAAATGAAGATGCTTTAGTAAATTTTAACTCAAAATGACAAATGATATTTTTTTTGGTGATTTAATGTTCTTCATTTCTTCAAAGAAACACAGTTGAATTGAAAACGTAAAAGGAAGATGAAATAATTGACGCATTCAAAATTTTATCCTTATGGGTGGAATTCTTTGACAACAAAAGCATAATAATAAAGCCGAAAATTTTTTCGTTTTTTTTTTCATTAAATACTAAGACATTTTTCTGAATCAAATAAACAAGTAAAACATGAAAAAAAAAAAATCCCGGAGGATGAAATAATTATTTTGGTAACAACATAATTTAAAGTTAATAAAACAAAAATTTCTAATTAATAATTAAAAAAAATGGGAGAACTTTAACTTTAATAATTAGTAATGTTGATATTAAAATTCTACGTGTCGAAAGTCTGCAATTTTTAATTTTATTAATAAGAATGATAAATAAAATACTATGTGTGATAGAAAAGTATTTAACGGATACTGATTATCAACTAGTAATTGGTTAAATGAAGTATCATAAGAAACAAACACTGGTAAATTTTGTTTAAATTGTACATACTAAGTTTTTAGTAAGCCCATTTAGCTTAATTTCGAAAAGTAAACGACAAAATGCAAGTTTCAATTTAATATTTTAATGTTTAAAACATAAATTTATTACAATATATTAAATGCTTTATGGAGTGCTAGCAGTGATTAAAATTCTAAATTTTTATTCGAAAATTAAACGTATTTATCACGTTAGTTTAAAATATAATATTAATTGTCGTCTTGTTAACTTGGGTAGAAAACAAATAAATTAATTATTACTTACTAAAAAAGTAGACTGTTCTATCTAAAAGCCCTGTCATTAAATAATTTCTCAAAAATAGTAATAAATTTCATAGATTTTGCAGGAGGCACTATCATCTCTGGTTGAAACTACAAATCTTTCAAGTTTTTTTTTTCAAAATCTCTTGGCCTCTATTTGTGTTTTTATTTTCATTTTCAACGAAATTTCCAATTTGTGTTGAGTAAGCTTTTACTAATAGTGTCCGCACTTAATGATAGGCACGAATATTGAATATAGTTTTCACTACGCTAAACTCTATTCAGGATCAAATAATAATAGTATCGAATTTGAAGTTTCTTTGCAGATAATATATAATTCACACTTAATGGGTATTTCATTCAAACTATACTGGGACATGCTAAAATTATATTTTGAATTTAAAAGTATTTTAGTTTATATAAAAGAAAATACAATGTTTTATGTACTTTCTATATGTATTTTATATAACATAGGTAAATTCTCTTTATTTTTTTCCCAAAAATCTGAGAAGTTATTTTGTTCTTTTAATTTTCGGGAGGTGCACATATTTTTCATCGGCGGATTCAAAATCATTCACATTATTTATTTAATTTGTGTTTACCCTATTTATCTTCTAATCAAAGAAATTCGAAATGAATCTGTTTCGTTCGGAATCACCTTCTATTAAAACTTCTCCTTTCTTTGTTGCTTTTCTTTCTGCATTTTCTTTAATGTCGAAACCGGTTTTTTCAAAACAAAGATCAAGAGGAGTAGCTATGGTACACACTTGATTTTATTTCGAATGGGCCACCACACAGACGTGTAATTGTTTCCAAAGCAATGAGAATTCCTGTTTTACGTGGAATTACCATCGATAAAGAGATATTTCTTCCAAGACAGCTTTACTGTCATATTAAAAGATGTTTTAATAATCTATATGTAAACTTCAATTGTAATGCATTACTTTATTTTATCGCTCGATCAATATATATTTAGAATTCCAAGAAGCTTGCTCATATATTAATAGCATGCAAGTCATTGGTTTTAATAAAATGCGATTTTTCTTTACTTTTTTTACCTTGTGTATTGTAATTTTTATTACCTTTGGATTCAATACTAGATTGATGCGTCCTCTTAATATGGTCCCACAAATTTGAATTGTTGCCGCTATTTTGTAAATGCCTTAGCCAATTAATAATATACCACACGCTCAATTTTTTCTTAATACTTCCTATTCTTGATTCGTTTGCACTAATTTATTTTTACTTTTCATTTAAAAAAATTAACCCACTTAAAAAATCACTTAAAAAAATTAATCAAAATATTTTTTTCCTCGTTTCTCTAACAAGTTAAGTTTAACCAATAAAAGCCTGCGCAATTGTAATGAAATAAAAAATGAATTCCTCATTCAGTGAAAGGCTTGTTCGTAGTTTCTATTACCAAGCGTTTGCATAGCGTGGTTACTGGCAAAAAGTAATTTGAAATATTGAAAATGTTGGAAAAATTAAAAGAAATACTTAGTCATTAAACTTTTTGTAACATTAAAATGTAAACGAAAGGCCGATTTTCTTCATATGAAAAGCTTACGGTTTTGTGAAAATATAGAAATATTGTTGGGCTAGCTTTTGCCTTTTCAAAATTTTTTTTAAAATGAACTTGGTAAAAGCCTACGTCATTATAGCATTCATTGTTATAGGTCGATATTTCGAAAAATATTTGATAAATAATATTATTCAAAACTTCCAGTCAGCAACTTGCCCATATCGCGCTGCGTTAAACAGTCGAATGTCAAAATAACAAAAGAAAAACCTGACGAAAATAGAAGCATTTCTAAAACTGAAAACTTTTAGGGAAGTTTTCGCAATTGTTAAATTTCAACTTATTTACACTTTTTGTTTTTCTTTTATTTTCAGTCTTCAACCTAACGTATATTTAAATAAGAGTGACCAAAATACGGGACGCACTTGACATTCAACCTTTAAAATTAAAAAAACCTTTTAACAAAACGTTTAAAATTTTTTTTTTGTTATGTTTTGAAGTTTTATTCGCTATTTATATTCGAACATTGCGGGCTTATCTACGAATGAGTGTATAAGAAATATACGCGGCACGCTTTTATTTTAGTATTTAGGATCTGCACAGAGTGTCTGCTCAAACAAGTATAAAAACAATTGAAAATCTGATAGTGTGAAGTTACTTTTAGAAGGGTGTAACTTGCATTTAGTTTCCAATAACTTATGGCAATTTGAGTTGGAAGTCATTATACTTTTATGATCTTTACATGTTATTTATTTCATTGTACTATTCGGATTGGTAAAACAAAATCTTTTTGAACAAAAACGAAGAAAAATAAATATTCGATTGAAAAATCAGTATTGAATACATCGAATAAATTTAAGCTTACTCACCCTAATATCTAAAACAAACAAATTTTTCGTAAAAATTTAAATTATTCGATAGTGAATATTTAATAATTATTCTCATTCTTACTAGTAGTTCACTTAAAAAAAATTTAGTGACCAAAAATTTGTGTTACGAAATTTGATATTTCTTAATATACATACAAGTGAGAATACCACTTCATAATTCAAGTTTACAGGGTTTCCGGCAATATATAATATTATTTACGAAAAAATACGAAAACTATTACGAAGATCTTGAAAAACGTTAATTTCAGCTCAAGTAACAAGGCAAATATTAGCAAGGCTACTTCTTAGACTGATGGCTTAGATAGATTAAAATGTTCGTTACGTATTTAATTTTAGAAAATTTAATTTTTGATGATTCATTAGAATAATTAAAAATAAGTTTTAAATTACTGACTTCAAATTCATGATTTGACTTTACCAATTTCTTCAATTATTAATCTACATTCAGGTAAATTAGCACTTTTGCCTAAAAATCTAGGGTTATTTAAGTACACTAAATGATGTTTCACCCGTTTTGACTTTATTTTTCTATACTCTTGTTCGATAACACTCAAGCCTTAAAGTAAGAAACAATTTGATAAGGAAAAATTAATTGTTTCGTTAAGCTTATAGTACCAACTTAACTTTCAGATTTAATACAAAACTTAAAGTTATTGTAAAAAAAGAGTGTCTGAACTAACATAATTTCTCTAAAAATTAAAAATTATTCAGGCATGTACTCCTTATGTGAAAATTTTTAAAATATCTCTTTAATATTTTACACTATGTAGTCTTAATATCTAAAATCTAAAAGATTGGAAGATTTTACTCTCATATTTTCGATGAAAACGGACAACACTTTAATACAAAAAAATTTGCCATCAGTAAAAAAAAATTTATAAAAAAAATTTAAATTTTTTTATTTTTTTTTTTTGTGCACCACACAACTTTTCATTATTATTCCACCGAGTCTTTCAAATTTTATGATAAAATAGTATAGTGATGACCGTCTATTGAACTCATAAGTCCATAAAAATATTGAGGTTGAATACCAAAGCTTACTAGAAATATTTGTTCATTTTTTTCCTGATTTCTTTGTTTTTTTTAAGTACAAAATTAAAATAAATTCCTTGCCATTGAAGAATTTATTAAAAAGTTTTCAAAATGAATACAAATCTAGAAGGAGAGAGCAAGTTTAGTCTGACTACAGATGAAAGTCATAAATGATAGAACATTATTTTGTTCTTTTAATACATTTTTTTTTTCAATAACATTTTTAAACGAGTTTTACTTTAAAATGGTATTAAGAAATTATTTCTTTTCCAAAAATCTTGAAGTTCTTAAAAAAAAAACCGGTCATTTTTAGTTTCACTTTTTTTCTTATTTATTTTTCATTTTGGCAAAATTAATTTTGAAAAAACTCTATAAAAATAAATATCAGGATATGAAGTTGTCGCTGCAACAACATGATAAAATTGATAACCGAATTGAATGAAGAGGACAAAATAAGGATCTAAAATGTTTTCTTCAGTTTCTTCTTTTAAATTTTTGATTACTCCTTACCAGTTTAATATAAGAAAAAATATTTCGATATGCTACCACCAGTTAACCATCAAATCATACGATACGATATCTACGGTTGGACATAAGAAGATTTTCTATCTTTTGATAAGAAAGATATAAAAGAATTACATTATAACTGAATTTTCCCGAGCGGCTAATATTTTCTTCGCATTCTGAATTCAGATACATCAAAAGCCGAAAATCACGAAAGAGCGTTTTAAAGATCTTCTTTTATTTTTATATTTTTTGCGCCAAGTGTAACAGCTTGTTTTTAAATTCAAATGAGAAGGAATTCGCCATTCTTTTGAAGTTTTATCATGTCTGAATTGTAAAAGGATTTAAAATTTGCTACAAATTTCTTGTTTTAAATTTAAAATGTAGTATTGGTGTTTTTCCTATAGTTAGTTGTACTTGTAGGCCAAGTTACTATGGTTATTTTTTAATGAAGCCAGTAGGCGTTTAAATTACACTGCTTTTTAAAATTACATAATATCATTAGAACAAAATCGTAAAACAATTTGAACTTTCAATTTTAAACTTTCAAAAGCACGCAACTAACATTATCCATTAAGATTTGGGGCACACATGCTATGAAAATTTTGTATATTAGTATTGAGAAAATTTTAAATGCAAATAATTTCCTAATAATACATAAATGCGCTGTACATTTCCAGAACAAGCACGAAATAGGAAAAATTCAAATGAAAGAAAGGTTGTAAAGTATTTAAGAAGTTTAAATAAATTCCATCTAAAGAAAAGTTCAAACTATAGAGAATCTTAGAGTTGATGAGATTTAAATGTGTTCCTCGTGCACTTGCAGTCATATCAACGGTTTGAGTTAAAGTTTACTTGTGCTTCATGTCAGATTTAATTTCCTTCAGATTTCTGTTCCAGATACGATTTATTTAAGATTTTATATCAGACTTTAATTTTTAGGAGTGCGGCCTTTAATTTCATAGCCACTCGGAAACTAATCAAACAGATTTATAAAGATTTTTTTTTCGGTGTTGCTTTTTCCAGAAAACTGTCGAGAAAACAAAAAAATCATATTTGTAATAAAAGTTTTGTCATAGTGAAAATGCTTAAATTAAAAATTCAATGCACGCGAAAAAACTCCTTAGGGAGTTCTTTGTTCCATGTATTTTTTTTAGTTATTCCACCTCTTTTTTATCAGATTTCTCTACACAACCGACTTTAGTATCTAATATTATTTGTCATTATACTTGAGGGCATCTACTTATATGCTCCAAACTAGTAAAATTTTACCATAGTTTCAAATATTTTTCGTCGCGAAATTAATGTGCACAATTTTTCTGTTGTATTTTTTTTGTGTCTGTTGTTTTTAAATGCGTAAAATGCATACTGTGTATATTAATTTCAGAACAAGAGAAAAACATCATGAAATATCAAAGTATATGAGAAAGTTTTCCACTGAAGTTTAGTATTCTGCTGAAAGTTATATTTTCAATTTAGTCGCCTGGAAGCGAAACTAAAAAAAAGGAGGAAAACATTCACATTTAAGGCAAATGTACGTCAGCAAACTCATTTCAACATGTAGATATTTTTTGTATTCAGATAGGAAATTAAATGTTATGAAACACCGAAAATTTGAAGTATTTAATACTATACCAGTTAGTTCGTATCAGAAAATTCAATACAAACTAACGTGAAAATGAATTAGACGTTATTCATGCACGCTTACATTATATAATTTAAGATCCAGAGTTTGATTGTATTGATTCTAAAATAACAATTTTTACCTTTGTCTATCTAGATTTTATCTCAAGTGTTATGGAATTTTTAGAAAGCATATAAACTAGAAATATATTCGGTAAACACAAAGTGCAATTATTGCGCCGGATTTGTAAATTATAAATAATTTTCTTTATTCAATACTTGGCTTTACGAATACTATAGTTTTTACGAGAATGCCACAGATATTTTATTTTCCATCTTTAGAAGCATATGAAGTAGAATTTAATTTTTTCATTCCCAGACATATATTTTTATACACATGTGTGTATGTACATATTTATATATGCATATGACACAGATCTTTAATGAAATTATTGATCTGATTTTAACAGTATTATCTTAGCATTATTTCATTAGGAAATTCATCATAGAAATTTTAGAATTTATGTTATTGTAACATTTTTGATATCTTTTCTGCCTATTTATATTGAACTTTGAGCCGCTTAAACTTTTTTGTTTTCAAAACGATTCGGAACCATGTCCCATCGCCAAACAATTATTCTTATTACATTCTTAATTAAATGAGCACACTTTATTATGCATTAAAATATTTTAATGAAAAATAAGATTTTTTGAATTTTTCTTCAAATTTCCTTATAATAACCTTAATAAATTACAATATATTGAATAAAATAAATGCATCTTTCTATATAACAAATGTAACGTGTATGATTTCTTTTTTCTTTAAGGAAGACAGAAAGGTTAAAAAAGTAAAATTATTACCTCTCCCGCTGCATTACTTGAATAACTCATGCGTTTAACTTTTTGAAATGTAACATCTTCGGAAGCTTCTTGTAATGCTTGTTCCATTACCGTTTCCAATTCATGATTTCTTGGCATTGATGTTTCATTTAAGCCTTCGTATGGCAAATTTTTTGGTCTCAAAGATTTTCTTCGAATTGTTGAACGATTTGTTTTTCTTGCTGCACGTAAATCAGTTTCCCAGAATCTGAAATCAAACAAGAGAAGGAAAGTTTTGTAACAAAACATTTTCAAAGTAAAAGAAAAAATATTATTTTTAAACAAAAATTTCCTTAATCTCATACACAAATAAACAAAAACCCTGAAAAAATAAAATTAACAAAAATTGCATATTTTTAGGTAATTTAATATTAACTTTTATAGCGTTACAAATTAAAAAAAAAACAATAATTTTATTTTCTTAAAGAACTTTTACCACACTGAAACTTTTAATTAAAATTACAAAAACATTTTTATCCTTTTCGTTGCTTTTTTTATTACAAGTATTATTGTAAAAAATGCGGGGAAAACTACAGCAAAATAAAACAAATAAAAGAAGTTATAAATTTGTTATCACACCATTTTAAGAGCATTAAAAGGAACACTTTAAATTTTTATAACTATTAAAGTTATACCTGTAATCATAAACTATTATCCTTATACTTGTTTTTCTTTGGCGTATAACACGTGCAGGGTGAGAAAATTTAATGATTTGAATAAATCTGAACATATTAGAATTCTTATGTATAAAAAATTATGAAAATTCTTAAGAATGCTGATTTGGCATTTACTTATACATTTGCTGAAATCCTGATTTAAATTTGATTAATTTTAAAATCATTTTCTTTATATTAAGGCTGAAATATTTGAAAATTTACTAATTTTTGTACTATAAGATCCTAAATATTAACGTTAATAATGAAGAAAGAATTACAAAATAAATGTATACGAAAATTCTCAAAATTTATTTTTCACTGAGAATAAATTTCACCCTGTATTTCTTTCTATATTCTCTTAGTATAAATTTCACGTAAGACGGTACTCCATTACAAATTACCTCAACTTTTATTATATTCATTCCCTACTCACATATCTTATTATCTATTTCACATTCTTAAATTAAAAAAAAAAAACAAAAAGAAAAAATTAAATGTAAACTAAACTGAGTCAAAAGACACAAACAACAAAAAAAGGAGTTGAAATTATTACCTAGGTGTCATAATAATGTAAATTTTAAATAATTTGTTTGCTTAAAACTAAAATATAATAGTTACACCTACACAAATCTATATAATTTAATATATACAATGATTTTTCATAAAAGGAATCTAAGCGTGAAAATAATTTCCTTAGAATGAGGGAATGAAGTAAAGGAGACAATAACTTTGAAAAGTTTTTCCTGCTTGTTTTTTTTTTATTTTCTTTTTCCTGTATAATTTAGTCATAATTTTATAATAAAGAGAATAATAAGGCAGAATAAAAAAAAGAAAACCATGAAATAGAGGAATATCCTACAAATATCCTTTACTATAATAACTTAATATAATAATATCTACATAATACAAAGTTTGATATTCAAACGTATACAAGTAAAATATAAATATACGAAAAATTCCCAGTCTCAGCCCATATATATACATTTTTAGTTTCATACAGTAGGTAGTAATTTATATATTAAAAGAGGAGTTTTCAACATTTCTTTCTTCCAATTCTTACTCTTTTTATTTTAATATCATTCATCAATTCTATTTTTATCATTGGTATGCTAAAATCAAATTTATATTCAGAAAGCGCGGTGTTACAATGAAATAACAATAGAAAAATAGAAAGCAAAAAAGAAAAGAGAAATTTGACAGGAACTGCCCTGGGTTCAATATTAATATGTAAATATATTACAAAGGAAGAAAAATTATCCTTAGGGTAAATAATATTATATACATGTACAAAAATTATTACATTAAAGCTATATCTACGTACGTATGTTGGTATATCAATATCGTAACTTTTAGCCAAAGAAATAATGGAAAGACTAGAAATATTGTTATATAAAAAAAATACATATTGTCCTAACGCAAAAAGAGGGAATAATTTCAGGATATTATGGTAGGAAACAATATTTTTACTCTAATTTTCTAATTTTTCCACAATTTTTGAAATTAAAAATAGCAAATTAAGAGGTTGTTGTTATACATTAAAAATATTTTAGGTGGCCACAATCATGAAAATTATTTTGAGTCACTGGTCGCTTTGAAGTAGCAATTAACACACAGACGTAATATACAAACGTAGCATAGCAAAACGAGTGCAAAAGAGCAAATGGGGTTAAACCAACCTTTGTCTAAGGAAATGGGCTGAGGCTGCTAGTTGAACTAAGCATATCTTAAGTTTTTTAGCTGTATTATAAATTTAATTCAAAATAGACAAAAATAACGCACTTGTTATTATTATAAGCATAGCATTTCTATTTTCTTGTTGCACGCGTTATTAAAGCTATGCTAGTATTTTTGTACAACTATAATACCATGAATAAAGTTCGATATTCTCATGCAAAAAAAAATTCCAAAACAATAATTTGGGTTAAATTTCCAGTGTGCAACCATAAGAGTCAATAAATAATGATGGGATTCGGTATTTTTGAAAAAAAAAAGAATTATTTAGGGATCATTTTTAAAAAATGAACTTTAATCTCATATTCTCGTGTTAATATCCAGTGGCTTTTGAAATGAGTTAAAATTATGCAAAAGAAAATAAAAAGAAATTTCATTTGAGAAAATTCCATTTCCTTTTAGTCTTGCCTTTTTCTTTTTATACACAATAATTTACATTTTTACCATATAAATATAAATATTTGTATATATATATACATACATGCACACATTATATGAATATTGTAACATGTCTTCCCATATATTAATGATGACATTCGTTACACACGCTTATCAGCATCTTTTGTACGCACAAAATATAATTTTATTTTGTACAAGTATGTCATGCATTTAAATATATGAAGACATTTTTGTTTTATTGTACCTACATACATATATACTCACTTATACATAAATGTGAATTATATACGGAAACTTTAGTGTTACAAAAAATTTGCATTAAAGCCAAAAAGGAAAGCAAAATATTAATGTAAGCAATATAATAGAGTTAAATTGACCAACTTTAAGATATTTTTCAGAGAATCGGAAACCAAAGAATTTATAAAATACGTTGCTAGTTTTTTTTAGTTTTTCTGTTTTTCTTTTTTTTAATTTAAGAAAATTGACTTACTAATTTAGTAACAGTCATCATATTATATTTTTATTGAAACAAACAAATTGTCATAAATCTTTCATATTCAAAAACACTGCATAAGATCTGATACTAAGTGCAAAACACTGCATAAGAGCATGTGATTTAAAGTTAAATTATTTATTATGCATAAAGTTATTAAAAAACCTCCATTATTTATAGATCTGTAGAGCAAGATGATGAAAACTTTAAATGTAAGAAACTCAGGATTTAAGTATTTCAAAAAATTGGGAGATCTATGTATTAATTTCCAGCGTTTTAGTTTCTAATGAGTTCTAAACGAGCCCCATGTCATGCCTTAATACAAATGCAATTCCATTTTCCGGCTGTGTTGTTGAAGGCATTATAAGTGTAATAAAAAATTCATTATACACATTACGTTATAATTCCTTTAGGCATGTTAAAAAATGCTGTTAAGTAAAGGAAGCCAAGTCCTTTTTTACAAGTTTTCATTTATTTTATTATGTTTTCATTATTTTACTTTGTCATGCCTATATCACAATTTTTAATTTTTTGTTTTTTTTTTTGTATTTCGTCTCTATCTCCTACAACTCCTTTATCTTATATGGTATGACAATAACTTTTAAACACCATTTCTTAATATGCGTGCCTACGTACATATATAAAGGAAAATTGTTTTGAGCTTTATAAAATATAAAACTTTTCTCCTCATTTATTATTCCTTTTTCCTGTTTTATTTATTGTTTTTGTTGTTGGTATAATTATGTTTTTAGTTTTTCGTTTTTTCTTTTTGTGTTCTTTTTTTGCTTTTAGTTTTGATCCTTGTCGCTTTTTCCCTTAAAGACAAAGACAACAAGAAAAAAAAACAAGAGGACCTTAATATGATCTGCAATTGATATAGTAGACGTTTATACACTTTGTATGTTATCCAGACATACACAAGTGACAGAGTTTATATAAAGAAAAAAGAAACTATTACGCATTGGGTATCCTCCATTCAATGATGCAAAGTGATGTGTCAGAATATCTCTCATAAGACAACTTTCAAACTCATGAGTATAATATTATGTTTTTGTGCCAAGTGTTAAATGGTTTTTAGTATATACAACATACATTATTTTTAGTATATACAAACGAATTGAATTCAAAGTGAATAGATAGATTTATAAAACGATAATGATTATTTTAAATATAAAGGAAGTTATCAAAATCAGAACACTATTATAATTGTAAACAAATAATATTTTCTTATGCTGTTATCAAACAAGAATAACTTAAAATAACGGAAAATATTAATTGAATGTAATCGGTCAGATTAGGCTAGAAAAACAGTTATAATCTAGGTACATCCATTAATTTACTGCCAACTAATAAATTCATTTCTCATTCAGTATTTTAATATCTCTTTAATAATTAATAATCAAAATACCTCTTAAATTGATAACGTACTCTTAAATCTGTAAACTTTCTATTCTATAAAATAAATTAGTGCTGCGTTAATGTCTCTAAAGAAAAATTTATAAGAAAATTCCTTAAGAAATATATTTAAAATTTAATTACAAAAACTATGTAGACAGGAAAAGTATTGTTGAATGAAAATCATTTCAAATGATGTTTTTTTCTTTCATATTGCTCTAAATATAATGATTATGTTTGCCTATTAAATTGCTTATGATAAATTTTATATTATGGCACCATAATAGGAATATGGAAGTGTTGAAGTGCGTAAAAGATAAATTTAATACGGAAAGAACTTTGAATTTTAAAGCTAACTAAATGAAAATAAAAATATTGGTTATTATTATTGACGATCATAACGAATTATTAGTAAAATTTCAATAAGACTATTGTTTACAAAACCTATACCAATTTAGAGATAAAAAACAAAAATTTTAATTGAAAATCTTAAAAAATATATTCATTTTAGAGCAAAATTTCAGCCTATCAACA